TTACCATATTTTACAGCCAAAGCTCCATAATATGCCACTGTGAATTTACACTAAATGCATGTGAAATATTGAAATAGGCTAATTGTGCTTAGAATATAGGATATATTATAGTGATTTGGCGAAATTTGTGCAATGCATTTTACTTAGCTTCAGGTGTGCTTAGATTTTGCAAATATACATGCTGTTCTGAATCTTTAGATTCCCGTTTCCCCTTCTATATAAAGGACTTTATAAATCACATTTGCATAATAAGAATAATGCATAATAAAAAATATTGATGAGCAACAGCTAGATCAATAAGATTTTTCCTTTAATTCAGCAGCTCAGCTTAGGTGCATGGATTTGTTTTATGTGATGGCCATCTAGTGTTTGAATAGATGCATCACACACAGATTTTTATTTGAAATGATGCAATTGAAGTTATTTAAAAACTAGAAAAAGGATGAGTAGGGAGAAAGGGGAGAAATCAGAACATGGAGTAAGAATGAGCCTATCAGAGAAAATATGAGGATGTTTAAGTGATAGTAGTAATGACATGACTACAGGAGAAATATAAGAAAAATGTATAGATATCAGACAAGGAAGAAATAAGGAGAGTCTAATAATCAAAAGACTTTTGTGGCAGTGAACACCGTTGATGTCAGGGTAACTAAATTATTATTTTGAAACAAGCACACAGCCTCTGCAGTCCCAAAAACAAGCAAGCGACACACATTCCCATAATGTCTTCCATTCCCGGGTTCAAAATGGCGACAAAAACTATTCTGGTGCACATTTAACCTGTGTCTATAATTCATAGTGACATTAAGTAGCACAGTGCACGTATCTCTAAGGTTACATTCTTCCATGATTATTCACGTAAATGGGCCAATGTTACTATAAAGCCAGACAACATCAGTAATCATTTTACAGAGTGCGACGTTACATAAATAGGTACTGTGAGTTCCACAGCCGGACAAAAAAGCCTGAAGTTGTATAATACATCAGGAAGAATATCTTCAACCTTTGCTAAATGGAACCTTGACAATAGAACACACAAACACCCTGTCAGATACTTTCGGTACACGACGCAGATCACATATAATCACCAGCGCTTTTTGAAACTAAAGAAAGCAAATGGCTCATTATCGTGATGACCAAGAAGCGTTTGATTTTCACTGCCCACAACTGCACAGCATCCATCACAATAAACACAATCTCTGTGGCTCTAACAAGCATACTCTTTTTACATAATTAGACCTTCTGGTGGGTGCATAAGAAATACAAATGCAGCGTAGCTCTATTAGTGATTGTTATAATGTGTTCTAAGTGAGTCTATATAATGAAATATGGTATAGAAAGATAGTGATCATGCGTTGCATATAATGTCTTCGACAATGAAACAGCAAGGGTGCAAAATCACAGTGTTTTGCGGAGATTAAAGGATGATATAGTGTGCTAGGAATGTTCACTTCTGTGACTGTTTCAAATTGGCTGGGACTGTCATGCTCCCAAACTAATATGGCTTGCAACCGGAGCTCATTAAAGAGACAGTTCTCACTCCATCATACCTTCTGAATAATGATAAGGGTGCTTTGCTATAGTCTTTACAGATTTCATCACAAATGCATCACCCTGTTGGTTATAGTAAATCTTCATCATTGCATCCTGATAAGTGACCAGTTTTGGTGGCACTGGGTGTTTGTTAAAGTCTGTTTTCAGGGGAGATTTTTTTTTATTATTTCAACTTTTTGAAAATCCTTTTGCTTTGTTGGTTTACTGTATGTTTTTTTTTTTGGTTAAAATAGTGCAGATGATTTTATAAAAAAAAAATATTCAGAGCAATATTGCATTGCACAATGACAGTCTCAATGAATGTCTAAGGATTGTGGGAATGGCCATTACGCTGATGATGAGTGAAAGATAGAGACAGAATCCTAAAGCCCGGAGAGGCTTTTGTTACTGCACAACTGGTAAAAAAAAAGATTGGGATGCTTTTGTTGGGTTTTTTTCTCCTTATTTTTGTATGTTGGTGTATATATACATATCTCAACAAGCATTTTCATCATTTTGACTATAAATAAAAGTCGCCAAGCATTATTTTACACTGAATCAGTGCTCATAATGGGATCTGTCCTGAGACTGGCATTTGAATCAATACTTGTGGGTGTATGTCTGACAATATTCAACACCTTACATGTACATGCACGTTCAAATATATTTTCGTGCACACACATAAACAGATTGAAATACACAAACATACTGTTGAACATATTTTCCACACCACTGTTTTGCGGCGAGGAGGTAGTGACATATAAACAGTGTGTGATTTTGTGTAGGTCAAAAAGTAATTAGATGCTGTTGTAAATTGCTTGTTTGTGTGTGTGTGTGTGTGTGTGTGTGTGTGTGTGCATGTGTATAATGAAGACCTGATCCTGATTGTGTTGTGCAGATGTTGTGTGATGCATGCTGAAGTTAGAATAAATGCTTCTGGTTAAGTGGTTGACTTTTACCCGAAGCTATACTCACTTATCACCAGTCTGAAAGAGGCTGGGAGTTTGCGTGTGAATTTATAAATAGTTTGTAAACCCTAACCCCAGTATTTTCAGTATCTGCAGGCACAATAATTTAATCCTAAATTTCAGATGCTGTGACTATTTTGTTTAAGGTTTGGCAAAAAAGAGAGAGAGAGCAATTTTTTACGTCTAAATTTAAACCCAATATCTTTTTTTTTGCTATTAGAACAGGGTCACTCCTGTTGTGCAGTACGTTTTAAACCTGTGTGTGTTATATATAATATAACTACAATATTTCAGACATTCAGAAATATGCTCTTGTCGGGCTCAAGCACTTAAGGCAAGGTTTATTTATAGCACATTTTATATACAATTCGAATAGTAAAACGAAAGATGTCAAACAATTTTTTAAATAATTTAAGATGCCAATTAATAAAGAAATTAAATAGAATAATGACTTGTTTCAATTTAAATTGTATTGATTATATCTTGATATATTACACAATTAACAGGATGGAACCTGCAGAATAAAAATAAAAACAGTATTCTGGAGGGTGCATCTTGAATAAATTATTACTTTTGTAATATTTTGAATATTTCAAAATGTATTTTATATAATATAATAATTAAATTAATAATTTTATTTAATAAATGAACATTAATAAAATCACCCCATTGTTTACTTAATTGTGACATTATGATAAATCTAACTCATTTGATTTCCATCTTTAATATTTTGTCTAATATATTAAGACGTATTTGTTGGGGACATGAAAATATACTGCATAGTAGAATGACCTTCCACATGGTTATTGCTGTCATGCTCTCTCTGTGTAAATCCCATTCACTAAATTTCTGTATCTCTGGGAGCTTCTCTCCCGTGTTGTCAGATCTGATTGGAGGACAATCCTCTTTCCACATACCTGCACATTAAACCCAATCTCCAACTGACACTGGTAAACGGAGGTTGCTATGGATACACACCTTGCCTTGAAGAGTTGCATAATCTTCTCACCATCTCAAGATAACTTGAGTGACAGGAGAACCCCGCATCCAAGGAGGAAGCAGGAAGAGGAGGAGCTTCCCACTCGGTGCGCTACTTAGTATTCCATCCAGGTCTCTGTGACATCTCTCACATCTGCATGGCCAGGTGATGCCTGTGGAGAGTGGGGATTGATTGTTGAGATTCATTATTACGATCTGATCCTCAGGGATGCCGACCTAGTGACTGCAATGCATGATGGCCAACTCTTCCACCGCATTCTCTCCATTTCTGCCGTTCGGTTTATTTGTTTTAACACTTCTCCCTCAGGGAGATTTTTTTCCCTAACATGTTTTCAGAAACAATGGCGGACCGTATAACTAACGCTGTATTATTGAACCCATCCAATGGAGGGGAGCAGTTCAATCCAGTACACCGAAGAGACATTTTTTTTTGTTGCTCTCTCTCTCTCTCTCTCTCTCTCTCTCTCTCTACCTTTCGTTGGTCAATGCGTCATATGTTTGGAAAGGATGGAGTGTGCGGGAATGGAGGAGGAGGAGGGGGCTTTAGAGGAAGAGAAAAGAGAGGGAATAGAGGAGAACAGGTCAGAGGAGTACAAACAGAAGACATTGGGAGGGAATCAGGGGAATCTTTCCTCTCAGTTTTTCATTTGTGACCCAAAAGACCTAAAACAAGACAAAGATGTGGTATTAAAATGAAAAGAACACAATTCGTCATTCCTTTCCATCTGCTTTCTAATATTCCTCATCAATTCCAGTGCTTTGCCTTCACAGCAACTCTCAACCTCATTTTACAGCATGATCTCTTGCATATTTTGTTTTTTCCGTTTCTTTGTTAACGCATGCTATCAGTCATGTTGCTTCCTTCCATCCATCTCTTTCTTTCCTCGTGAATATGTTGTGAATAATATCTTTAATTTTGTCATATGAATGGTAGTAGGTCACATGACAATGTAAAGTATAGTACGTCTGGATTACATTCATGCTATAAAACGTTCTTTTTAACAGTTGTGAAGTAATTATTTATGCAAAAGAATTACCTACTACGAGTATGTGATTTCTGATTCAAACCAACTCCTACATTGCAGATTTCCAGTTCACCAGCCAAATATTACATGCAGTTTAGTGAGGGAATCAGGGCGTTTAAACGATTGGTCCCACTTTATATTAAGTGGCCTTAACTTTTATGTACTTTCATTTAAATTAATAATTTGGTACAATGCACTTATTGTGTACATACATGTTTTTACATTGTA